AAAAATCCTAAAATTTGTCTGTTCCAGGAATAATATCTTTTATTAGGTTCGTTCGGGTTTGGTTTCAGAAACGGATACTGCTAAGGTAGAAGAAAGTTAGAAGTGTTCGGGTTAAGTTTCAGAAACAGATAGTGTTTAGTAGTGGAAGAAATTTTTTAATTTTCAAATCAAATTATATTACGATTCACGTCAGTAATTTATTTTATTTTGCGGTAATGTTATATAAAATTATGATAATATCCGTATAGTTAAAATATTTTTTGTTCATTATTCTCTGTGGTCGAGCGCTTGTCCCTTTAATACAAAAGAAGGGGGGGGGGGTTTAGAGTGAAACATGGATATTATTTTTTTAGTCATGATGAAGGGAAGGGGACTATAAATCTCTGGCGCATGGAAGAATATATTTTATTCCTCTAGAAAAGTTATTATTTCCTTATAAATAAAAAAACTATAATTGAAATTTTTTACAAAAGAATAAATATAAATCGGTTAAAGAAACTAAAATAAAAAAAAATAACTATAGGATTTAAAAGCGCGCCGATTTAAAAAGCGCTAGGTGCTCAAATTAATTCTAAAATGGGGGGAGGGGGGAGATTTAAAAAAAATTTAATTTATATGTTAAAAAAGGTATCCTTCAAAATTTTACCAAATTTTTTTTTTTTAAAAAATATTTTTAAAATTTTAAATCTTCTTTTGCATTTTTTTAAAAATATGTTATTTTTTGTTTATTTTTTGGAAATAATAAACAAATTTTTTTTTGAAAAAATGAGGCTTTTCTCAAAAAAAAATACGAATTCGTGCAGCATTTTTTTTATGGAAATATTTTCTTTTTTAAAAAAAATTAAAATTTAAAGCGAGAGTGAAAAAAATGATAAAATAAATTATAACCTGTATTATAGTGACCATATTGATAAAATAATGTGACCAATTTTGGAGGTATTTCTTTTTTTCGATTTTAAGCACGTTTTTGATTTTTTAAATTTTATTGTTTTCATAAATCGTTGGATGAGGATTATAAAGTTCCATATCCATTATTTCCCCTCTCTCCACCCTGACTAAGGCTGCATTCATAGTGGAGACGGATCCGTTTTTACATCCGTTCCGTCAAAAGTCAAACTCATTAAAAATGATATAAATGTTCATAGACTATAAAAAAAATTGTAAGTAACGTTATAACGCTCTATAAGATTTGCCGGATCAAAAAGTCAAAATGTTTTGACTTCAAAATTTGCCGGATCCGTTTTTAAGACGGAAGGTATCGGAACGGACGCACTATGAACATATATATCATTTTTAATGAGATTGACTTTTGACGGAACGGATGTAAAAATCGGATCCGTCTCCACTATGAATGCAGCCTAACTTCGTGGTCTCAAAAAGTAACCTTCCGTTTACCGCTATTTGAATTTTAAAGATACTATGCTGCGCTGCTAACTATTGCCCCCCCTCCCCATGTTAACGCGCTATAACAAGCAGGAGGCTTCTAAACTTCCCGTAAACCAATAACAATTTACCCCAAACCTCCCTCCGGAAAATTGATTTTTCCATCTGACATTTTCAACCCGAAATATGGTCAAAATTTAGTAATATAACTGGAATTAGACTTCTGGAAATTTCTTAAAAAGTTTTCCTTTCCTATCGATATTAATTGTTTATAAAAAAGACACATACATTACAGATGTATCACATATATTGGTGGAGATTTTGCTAAATTTAACCTTTTTTCATACGCCGCAATTTATAAATTAAGATATTCTCTATAAGTGAATAGCGTTTTTTAACATGTAAAATAGATTAACATTATAGTTTAAAATACCATCTACGGCATGTACCGCTTTACTATATAAGCCACTTGAGGGGGTATCGCCATCACCTTTTTCTTTCTTCCAATATTACTCTCTTGGATTGAGTAATACGTTAACGTTACCTTCACTGCTTTATAAAAAATGGGTTTTTTTTTATTCTCCGCCGCGAATTGTCGTTAACTATCAATGAGGGATTATCCTTCACAGTTAACTTGAATTCGCGGTGAAAATTCAAAATATGCTCTACTTCTGTATACTTCGCCGCGAATTCGCTATCTATGAATTCAGGTTAATACTTTACCGCTCTTCTCTAAGAGTATTTTAATATACTTAATTTTAAATGTCATCTACGTTTACGTTGCTTTCTTCGAACTAACTTTACTTTTACATCTCAGTAACTAATATTTTAAAAATATGTTAACGATATGAAAATATTACATTATTTTTTTTTAAATTTCACTTAATTATTAATATTTATTTATTATTACTAGTATAAAACTTTTTTTTAATTGCCATTATAATTATTATAACACATTATCGTAATTTTTTTTTGATTTTAATGGCGCAGATATCAATTTAAATTTGCCAAACCATCTAGTAAAAAAAAAATCATTTACTTGTCTATTTCGATTTTTAAATCACTTTATTTATTTATAACGATGGAATTATGAATAATTTTAACATTCGGTGTTATGATAGATTGATCATTACATAACTTATACGATAATAGCCATTTTACCCGAATTTGATACGGGAGGAAATCTTTTTCTCCCTGTCTTTGGCACATTTTCGGGGAACCAGAAATTTAAAACTTAAAAAATATTGTCTAAGCCCTGAGATTTTTTCTCCTGAATGGGCAGAAAATTGGGCATTTATTGGCTTGCGTACTATTATTTTTTGTTCAAAATCTTAATTTAAAATTTAAGAAATCGATTAGTTTAACAACACTAATAGTGACGATTTCTACCTGTGGTCACCCTCACTCACCATTATAATTAATTATATTTAAAATATTTCTTTTTATCTTTTATTAGTCATATTTTTTTTCAAAAAATACTCACGTATTATAAAAAAAATCTAATTTGAAAAATGCAAATTTTTTTTTTGTAAAATTTATAAAATTTTTCTTAATAAAAAAAAGTTATAAAAAATTAATTTTGCGGATTTTATTGAAGCGGCAATTTTAAAAACACCGAAATCTAAAAAAACGCTTGAAATCGGGAAAACGTAACATTTTGATTTGAAGAATTGAAATTATACGCGAAAATTGAAAAATGGGAGGGGAGTTATATGTAGAATTATTAAAAAGCAAAAATGACCCAATATAGATTTTAGCCAAAATAATATTATGTAAGCCTGGAAATTTTGCTCAGAGATGGATAGGTTTGGATCCTCTATTTACCAAATCTCGAGGCTTAAATAATATTATTTCGGCTAAAATCTTAACCCGAATCGGGCTTTTTAACAACCCTAGATATATGGTTATTTTTGATATAAAAAAATATATTTTTATAAAATACAGAAAATTCAAGGCGAAATGCGTTTATTTTCTCTTTTCGTTTTAAAAAACATCATTTTGTTAAAAATATAGTTTTTAATATTAATCGTCAAACAACGAAGATAAATTTATTTTTGTATGAACAGGATATTTTTTTAAAAAAAATTGAAATAATGAGATGATTGGAAAATTTGATTTAAATTTTTTTATTATGAATTCATTTAGATTTAATAGATCTTTCTCGCTAAAGCGTTAATCAGAGTTTGAAAGATAAAATTTTACCTAAAAATGCCAAAATCTTTTACTAAATCCAACCAGCAAAAAATCTTTCATGATGAAAATCCTATCAAAAATTGGTGCTGAATACACGGATCAATTTGATATAGAATCGTGCAAATAACATTAATTTACTTTTCTGGCATCTCTTTCCTTCGCTCCTATCACATTGTTCTTTAATAGCAGCTATGATTGCGTTAACCCCCATCACCCTAACCCTAAATGATTCGGTTATTTCGCGTCTAAAACTTTGTTCATTTTCCAAACGCTTCGTAGTTTTAGTTATATGCCGCTTCCTCCCACCCTCCTTTCCCTTAGTTTCTAATTTGTATTTACAATAGTATTGCTAAACGGCTCGAGTGATTTCGTTACCTAAATCTCTTGCATAATATTTTTGGCTAAAATATTTGGTTAGCCTTTTTAAAAATCAATCCGTTTAACGAGAATAAAAGTCTCGAAGAGTAATGAAAAAAAGTTTGCTATAATTAATTGCTAGGAATTTATGTTAAGTATGTTATTTGGGGCAAATATGACCCAATTTTTGAATTACTTTTTATTTTTATACTTATAAAATTTTTGATCTAACTTTAATAATATTTTTTGAAAATAATACTGTTAAAAAGAAATGAGACTCAAAAAACCTTAAACTTTTATTATTATTATTTATTCTTATTTAAAACAATAAATCATTTTTTTTAACATTAAAAAAAACTTAAAATTTGACGAATTTCTAAAAAGCTTGGACATCTCTTTAGAAAAACTAAATATTTTGTTTTTTTATTGTCAAAAATATTTACTATGTAAAATTTTTGAGATCTAAGAATTAGCATACTTTATTTATTATTTTATTTAGACTTTTACTTAGATGTAAATAGGCTCATACATCATATAAAGTTTTTTAGATGTGAAATAGTAATGGAATTAATTAAGTTTTCACATGAAATAGATTTCGCGTTTGGGACAGCAATTTTTGAAACTTGATAAACTCGATTTTAAAATATTGTCTAAATCAAGATTTTATCATTTACAGTAAGCGTGCATCGCTGAATATTTTTTAAAGAAATAATAGGTAAAATTTATAATGACCGCGTGATGTAGTGAAATGAATTATTAGATCACTATAGATGATAAATTTTACCTAATTTATTTGCTTTTGAAAAACCTAATAGATTTTGCCTATTATTTACTTGTGAAAAACCCAGAAGATGCAGCTTTACTAAATAGCCTTAGATAAAAAAAATATTTTCTTTTGGCAAAAATCTTGATTAAAACCGTTTAAAAAAAACGCGTAAATCGAGGTTTTTTTAACTACACTAATTACATAGTGTACGTTATGAATTTTGTTGCGATCAAAGCACATATAGATTCGGACATATGAAGTTCATTGCCACTAATTTATACAAATAATATAATAACGAGAAGAATTTATACAAATAATATAATAACGAGAAGAATTTATAAAATAAAATTTTTATAAGATATAATTTTATTCCTTCAATTCCACGTGGAAATAAAATTGAAATCCTTGCCCTCAGCATTTCCTTCATAATTTCCTCTTTATAATATTGATAATTCGCCTTATATTTTATTTTCGTTTTTAGAACCTATTGTTTTTTTTAATATGTATACACTTATATCGATCTTGTTATTTTTATCCGTATTTTTAAGATAATATTGAAGATTACTATAAAAGAAAGTAAAAAAAAACCAATGATTTCAGTACAGTAAAGATTCAACATAGGATGCCTATCCAAAAATTATCGTCAAAATTTTCTCCGATCATCGAACAGTTTTTCGGCTGATTCGAGGTGCATAGCCAGGAATTTTCTACAGTGGGGGGGGGGGGGGGGTAATTTTTTTTATATTAAAATGATTTTTTTGGAGCATTAAAAATTTATAAGAACTAATCATCATATATTTCTTAGAACCAATCATCATATAAAATTTAAAAACCAATCATATTTGAAAATATGATAATTTCGAACATAAATAATAAAATATTGGAAAATTCATAATATTAAGTGTAAATATAATACTGTTAAAAAATATCATAGCTATATAAACCGGTATGTAAATCGCAATAAAATATAAAATTAAACATTTTGTGATTTAAAAAGTTAATCAAAATGTCATTCGAATAATTTGTTCTGTGTTGTGGATTAAATCTTGGGGAATAAAGCTAGTCTTATTCAATCAATTTTAAGATGATTTGGTAAACCTAATATATTTTAAAGTATTTAATGTTTCCACTGTATTTTATTATCTTCAAAAATTTTTCATACTATTTAAATTCTGAAATGTTGGCATTCAATGTATATTTATATCCTAAATAAAATTTAGCTAAATAATTGATTTATCCTCAGATCAGAGGGAGTTATAAGATATAGTATTTGTAAATAATTGGATCAAGTCTTGATGAATCACAAATCGTTCATTGATTTGAGTCAAAATTAAATCCTCAGTGGAATAAAAACGGTTATTTTATAGAAATCATCAATTGAGTCTACGTTACTATAAGAACGATTTTTGTCGGTGAAAGTCGAGGCTTATAAATCTCAAAATCATATAATTTCGATTTCACCTCAACAAATAACCCAAATCTCAAGAAATTCTTGGTCGATATTATCTCATGGTTTTCTAAGTTGTAATATAATAATATTCGCGATTCTTATAACTTCAGCCTAATCCATTTTTTAAATAATATTGCATAATTGTTGTGTAATAAATGATTTATCAATGCATTCCAATGAAAAAGGCAGTCATTCTAATAATGTATCAGCTTCAGGTGAAATATCTGTTTCAGGTTATTCTGATATTTATCCAAGACAAAATAGGTTCTTTTAGATTCAAAAAATGCTATAACATCTTGATGTCGAAGCCTCCATCTTGTCGTGCTTGCTTTTTTTAGTTTCTTTTTCCCTGTAGACCAAGAAGTCTCTAATTATATTCAGCAAATTCTGTCTATTAAGATATCCGAAAATTACATATACTCTAGAAATTTTCTAATCATTTAATAGAGATAAATTAAATAAAAAAAATTTTGGTTGATAAAATTTTCTTATATCCATCAGTGTTAAAGGTTTAAATGTAAGAAAATAAACTTTAAACTTTCGTAAGATAAAATATTAATATACAAGAAATAAATATTTAAATTAATTTTAACTTTTTGCTAATATTTAGAATATAATATAACCTATTTGAAATAGAATACTTTGCAATTCCCAATTCATGAAACCCTTTATATTTTTCCCAAATTTCTTGGTCCGCAGTCTACGCAAAAAGTAAGTCAAAGGCCTCCTGTACACCTCTTTAATGCTGCGTTTAAAATTCTTATCCTAAAAATTTAAAGCGTTTTAAACACAACTTTTAAGAAACGGACCCCCCAGAACCATTAATAAATAGCATTAAGAATTTAAAAAAAAAACATTTTTTTGATCGATTTTGGATTTAGATTTGCAATACTTTCTTTTTTTGCGATGATAAAATTTGACAAACTATAAACCAAAATATTTTATCTAAACAAAAGAAAAAAACAATAGACAGATAGATCATTTTCATATCGTCGAAATTATATATCCATATAATCTTCATATTGTTGGACACCTCGTCAAGATATATAATAAAAACAAAACTTCAATTTTTGCTAGGTCTATTAGTAATTTGAAGATTTTATTTTTGAATGAGAAAGATTTTTGCTCAAATTTTATTGCCTAAAAATGCCAAAATTGTTTTAAAACTTTCAGAAATTTTTAAAATTTCTAGAATTATATTTTGGACATGTTTTAATTTTTATACTTAAAAAAAAATCTATTTTTTTTTCTTCCAGTTTCAAAAGTTTGCGAATCGTATTTTTTTTGTTGATATTTTGGACTTAGCTTAAAGGCAAATCTTTCAAACTCCGCTATAAATCCGTCCAAAAAATAAATTCGCGTGATATTAAATATTGCGGAAAACAGGACTATCGCTTGATTAGTTTTATTAAAAAAATATATAACTTTTACAAAAAAATATTGTCACTTTTTTCCCCTCTCTATGATGACTTGACTTGATTTAAAATAATCGCAAATATTATTTTTATTATAAATATTATTTTATTTTATTTTTTAATGTAATAAAAAAAACATTTTCCCTACATTTAATTTCGTGTAAAATGCCCTTGACCCGTATTGGAAAAATAATAATTTTTATATTATGATTATTTATTATTGGGAATTATTATTTTTAATTATAACTTATTCATTTTTAAATTTATTTTTTAAAGAATGCTTCTAATTATCTTCTATTTTACATTTTAAATTATATAATAATTTTTTTTAAAAAATTTTCTTTTCCTCCGCCCATTAAAAACTAATAATGACATTTTTATTTTTATGTATCACTTTAAGTATTTTTCAAAACAAAAAAAAAGGAATTTTTCCGCCTCTCGCTCAAAAATTAATTAGCGAAAAAGAGGAACGCATTGAGAGATTCATGCATTTTAAATATTTAACATAAATAAATTCATAATTATAATAAAGCCATGTTAGCTGTTGGATTTAATAAGAGACATGAAACGGAACATTCCTAACAGGAAACGGTGATCCCGGGAATGTTCCCAGAAATTTTAGAACGTTGCGAAAAATAATGGCTCAATATATTTTTTTAATAATTTTCTTAATTCCAGTTTATTTCCAAATAACAATATATATTTTACCGTTGTATTCTGAAGCTTCTACATTTCTTACTTTTTTTTCTTCTTTTAAAAATGATAGTTTTAGGATATAGAATCTATGAGGATTCAGAATATCTCAATATTATAAATTGAAAAAATGTATAAGAGTATCCACAGCTGTGAATTTCCGACAATCAAACCTTTGTGCGATTTTAATTTATAAATCCGCTTGAAAAATTAATATAAATTGCAGAGTAGTTCAAAAGTTCCCATGCAAAAATTGCCTGAAATTCGTAGTGTGGGGTATACCATAATAAACGTTGGAATAAATAGGTCTAATCAGATTTTCAAATTTAAAGATCGATCTCAGCAAATGGTTTAGAATTGAAAATTTTAAATTCCCCATGGATCCCATATCCCAATAATGACATGATGTTATATACTTAAATGTAAAAAGATTAAAACGAGTATACTTGATTTTGACAATAATTTAACTTTTATCAATCTTATTTATTAACGCAATCTATTAGTTGGTTTGTTGACTGGCAATGAGTTAAACGTGTAATTTTTAAAAAATTTGAGTAATATTATCATTATTGTAAGTGTCAGTTAACTCCTAACGCATCATATCTTCACGTTCTATAATGGACAAAAATCGGTGGCTATTGTGATCCATGATATGATATTAACTGCGAATATTTTTTGTAATTTATATAATAATATGTTGTTTTTTTTAATTTTAATTTAAATACTTTATCGTAATTAGGCCATGGCAAAGATATATCACTCGAGTTCGAAATATCAGATACAATCTTTTTAAACATAATAAAATATCCATATTATAAGTCTAGACACTAGTGTCAGAAAGGGAAACGCGCTGCAAAATATTTCAAGGAAACAGCTGAGTAAGGAAATTAAATCAAACGAACGCGTTCATCAAAAAAAAATTAACACTTTCGCTCACGCTCAAAATTTGTAACTATGTTTAAAAAATGGAATAAATTCTTTTCCGCTATGCTTTAGTTTTATAGTGTGCACAAATTGAGCGTTTGCTTTTTGCGGTACTTTTATTTAATGATAAAAGCGTAATTAGCATCGTCGATTCATTTAACTAAGGGCGATTATAGTAAACGCGTTAGTGTTATGTTCAGGTCAGTTATTTATAAAATATAGGTATTATTTATATAATGCAGCGTTTTATGCTAGCGCTAAAATAAAATTTGAAAAACATATATTTTGACGTATGTTTCTAAAATTATTAATTCTATGAGGAATCAGCGGTGATCTCTATAGCATTAAATAACGTAAAGCTTCAATATAACACTTTTATTATAAAGGAGACCTAGGTCATATAAAAAGAATTGATTTTTGAAAACTATATTATCTTCTGCCATTAATTTCTAAATATTCCATTATAAAAGATAAGTTATTTTTCGAAAATAAAGCAGACCAGTTAACGTTTTTTTAATGGTTAATAACGCCAATCGGTAATTTGACCAATTTGCGCTATATACCATTTGAAATGCAGTATTTGCGTTTGAAACGCTCAATCTGTGTTCTATGAATAATGTTTCAAATTCGCCTAAAACCATATTGCTCCGTTTTTAAAAAATATTTATTTTTTTTATAAAGAAAATAAGATAAAAGAGAAAAAATATAGATTTTTTAAAAAAAATTTTATTAATAAAAAGTTAAGAAGGTAAAAAAAAAAGTAAAAGAAAGGAAAAACCATGATCTAATTTTATTTTTAACTTTATATGATTTAGCATTTTTCTTTATTTCTCGTAAATGAAGATAAGAATTTATTTTTTTTTATCTCTTAAGCCGAGAGATACAAAAAATGAAGGAATATAATAGGTAATTACAGAAAAAATATACATACTATAATATATTTTTTTTTTAAATATTATTTCATGATATATATTTTTTTTACTAAATTTCCCTGCTTCTTCCCAATAATTTATTGATTTTTGACAATAATTCAAAATCGATAATTCAAAACAATTCTAATCTTATTTGTTTATTATTCCTGTATTTTTTATGTGTATATTTTTTTTTGAATATTATATAAATACAAATCATTTTTTAAAAAAATATTTTATTGTTACTTTTTGCGGAAAAAATAAATATAAATTGTAAATTTGGACTTAATATAATATGGGATAGATGGATAGGAATAGAATAAGGAATTTTATAATTCTTTTTAAATTAATTATCATTGTTTTTTTTAGTTTTTAAATTTCGATTTACTGCTAATTCCAAAATAATAGTATTAAGTATTTAACATACATAATACTCCTTTCTAACTTTCTTTTTGATGATAAAATGTTTCGATATTTCATAAGGAACTGAATAAACATTATATTAATAGAGCGATTTTAATAGATTTTCATTCCACATTTTGAAAAAAAAGAAGTTTAATTTTCAATTTGGTAAAATATGTTTGAGTTTGAGTGTAACTACACATAATAATTGGTTTTGGTTATTATTATATAAATTATTTAAAATAAAAAAATTTTGATACAAATATTTATGAAAGGATATTTATTACCTATGAATCATTTGACTACATAAATATTAAGAGAGATTAAGGTACCGATAATGTTGTTAAATGGCTCGAAGTCGATTTTTAAAAAACGGCTAACTTAATATTTTATCCAGAAAGATATTTCGCAAACCTGAAGATTTTGGTCATAAAAGGTTTGGTCGAGGTTGAAGCAATATTTTTTCTGCCTAAAATATTGAGTTAGCCTTTTTTAAAAACCGGCCCGAATCTAATCTTTTCTTTGAACTAACGTAACGCGTTGGCCTTTCTTACGACTGGGAACCTTTATAGAAGCCGATCCGATATCCAAAAAATCATGTTCTATTTTTCTTTTAAAAACTTCCATGGATTCAATATTAATAAATCAATTAATAATGAATAGTACTATTATAATAAATTATTTACCATTAAAATATATCGGTGTATAAATTCAAAAAAAAAATACTATTAATCGAGCCGGTGTGTTATTTAAAAATTGGTATATATATAAATAACCTTGATCACCGCAACGCAGTTTCCTTTTTTTATATTAATTTATGTGTAAATTTATATTTACAGTCTCTCCTTATCAACAAACCTCATACAAAAATCGTATCGCCCATTTTAATACTTATTCATAAAGATTGAACAAGCAAAGCCGTTCGGGCTAAGAAAATCTGACATTTGTAAACTGAGAAAAAAAAGATAACGGCTTCGTTTCTCTCGATCCACGCGTTTTACCGTATTTTGCTTTTTGATTCCACACACGCGTTTTTAGCAAAAATATAGCCTACAAACGACGCACCGAGATAACGTCACCCTCGCAAAAAATAATATTCGTTTAGAGGCGTGGACAAAGGGATAATGAGCACGGTTCCGCCTTCCGTGGTCCCGACTGATTTTGCCCATCAGGATTCGCCGGACACGAAAGTTGCTGAGGAAGCTGAAACGGAAGAAGAATCTTGCCCCGTTTGTGGGGACAAAGTTTCTGGCTATCATTATGGTCTGCTCACTTGTGAGAGTTGTAAAGGGTTCTTCAAGCGCACTGTTCAGAACAAAAAAATTTACACTTGCATAGCCGACAAATGCTGCGTCATAGACAAGGCCCAACGCAAGAGGTGTCCTTTTTGTCGTTTCCAGAAGTGCTTGGACGTCGGCATGAAACTCGAGGGTAAATATATAAACATTTTTTAAACAATATATTAATATTTTATTTGTTAAACTAAAATAAATATTAGTAGTAAATTACAAAACAAATAATATTCCAATACTTAGACTTAATATATAAGTTTAAATTCATTTTTCTTTATTTAATGCTTAGCCGTTAGGGCAGATCGAATGAGGGGCGGACGCAACAAATTCGGGCCCATGTATAAGCGCGACCGAGCGCGAAAATTACAAACTTGCCGTAACCGAAACTCTAATATCAGTAGCTCTTCCAACTCTGGCAGTAGCCATCACAACGGTCTCGGCGACCATCGCAGTGATTCGATATCTTCGCATAACTACAACCCCTCGCAGCATTTATTCGACAACGGAGCCTCCAACGAAAGCAGCATGAATAGTTTGCTGCTTCACAATGGCACGTCCCTTTCGCTCTTAAATTCCCGGTCTTACTCCACTAACTTTATACACAACGCAGCCATTAACGGTAATGGCAGCGTTAACCAGAGCGGCCACCAAATTAACAACAACCACCACATGACTAACGGCCAACCCGTATTTGCCGATCATAACAACTCTCTCACCAATCCCCTACAACACCTATCTTCTACTTACAATAATATCAATCACAATAACAATAATCATATTACCGGAAATAGCAACAATAATCACATAACTGGAAATAGCAACAACAATTTATACATGGCTTGGCGGATGGACTCTGCCAACAGCAATATCGGTGACCATAACGACTCCCACAACAATCGCTACAACCACATCATCACTTCCTCCGGCCTCATCAAAGAGGAAATCTCCTTGCTTTACGACGACGAGTCTAGTGGTGCGGGTTCTCGTCATCGCTCCGCTGCCGCTTCTGCCAATTACTATGAACTCGAACCACCCTCTCTTACATCTGTTGATCTTTCCGGCTTCGGCAATAATAACAATAGTGAGAAAGGCGGCGGCTCGCCTTTTGTGGCAGTCCAGATCCCGACGCTTAGTTCGACCCAGCTGAGTCCCGAATCACGCGTTTCGTCTTCAACGCCACTCGGACCCGCGGTCTCCCTCTCCACGCCCGCTTCGGTCACTTCCGATTACCCTTCCCTCACTCCTCTGTCTCGTCATCCTCAAATTCTGAATCATCACACCAACCCCCTCCTACTGCTCGGTCAGCTCAGTGGCAAGCCACCCGACCAAGACGAGTTAAAGCGAGAACCCTGCGAAAATGAGCACGAAAATGAACAAGTGCCGGCCTCCGCCCTGCCAATGTTAGATGTGTCCGACATGTTCCTTGGAGGCATTACATCCGGTGAGGAGCCGCGTGACATAGTTGGGGATGAAAATGAAAGGAGTCCCCCATCTAACCACCACCCCGTGATCCGAACCGGTAACACTCCGCTCTTTTGCGGCGGCTCCGTTGCGAACATTAATAACGGTCACGGGTCCATTTTTAGGGGCAATGGTAGCGCCGGAGATTTTCCTCACAATTTGCAACATCATAGCATGCACCATAATCAAATTTTGAACCACGAAACGCAGCAGTTGGGATTCGATCAAAGTCAATTTATTAAACAGCTCGTTAGCACCAATACCGTAGACGATCAAATTTGGAAAGAGAATCTGTTTGGCTTCATCCATTCCCAGACTTACAATCAATGCGAGGTCGACCTATTTGCTCTCATTTGCAAAGTTCTCGATCACAGCTTGTTCACTCTCGTAGATTGGGCTAGGCATAGTTATTTCTTCAAAGATTTGGAAGTACATTTTACTTCTTTTTTTTAAAAAAAATTAGTCGAATTTGTTATTTTTATGTTTTATCTTTATAGTATTGGTAACCTAATTTTGGCTTCACAAAATAAAATTTGCCCGTCTTTCAGATAGGTTAATCTGTATTTATTTAATGATTTTTTGGGGCAAAAATTTTACCTCCTAACTAATATTAAATTCAAAAATAGGTCCTTCAATAAATGTTGGAAGATGTCGCTAAAAAATCATGGCCTCTTTTTAAAAAAAAATTTACGCTTGTATTCAAAAAAAGAGCTTTTTTTCTATGGTAGAAATAATTTTTTTTAGAATTCTGGAACTGAAACCTGCAATACAGTGTCATATATAAGAACCGTCGAATCTTCTTTTTCAAATAATATTGAAACCAGGGAATTCCTTTTCCAAATTTTCAGGAGCGGATAACACAAAGTACAACTATCTAAAAAAGTATTTATCTCTTTTGTGATTCATTTAAAAAAGGTTATTTCGTGTTTAAAAATCCAGATCGTTTTCCTGCTAACGGAGTTTTTAGAAACCGTCTGAACCGAACCCCTAAAAAGTCAGATTTTTTTTGTCAGTGTATTTCCAAAACTGTGATGATTGAGAATATTATATTTTTTTAATAATAAACCTAATTCAATAATTAATATAACTTTTCTGTTAAACAGCTCGATTTAGCTTTTTTTTAGATATCTAGCCATATAACCCCACACTGCGAATTTATGGCGAAATTTAAAAAATACGCTATTTTTTGTATTCTTCGCCCCGAATTCGCGACAAATGAGCATTGAATGTATTAACTTTCACTCCACATTTTAACGATGGATCGATCCCCTCTATTTATAAATAATATTTATTTTTTTAAAAAAAAAATGTATTTTTCGCTAAAAATAAACGTGCCTAAGGTAGTACCTATCAAATTTGTGTTTTCGTTTATTTTTTATTTGGATAGGTATAGGTACTGCCAAATATTTTAATATATATAAATTTGAAAAATCGTGATTTTTGGAAAGCGTCTATGGCCAAATGGGAGCTTCGCTTACCAATCCGATGGTTTTGGGGTTCGAATCCCAGCAAAGAACATGTTTTTTTCTTAATCCAACTTAATGGTTCCGTCCTTGGGGGCACGATATATAGGAAATCGGACTGGTCTTATTACATTTATATTTTTTGGTCGGTATTTAGCATATTAGATTTTTATTTAGAATATTACTGAACTTTGACTTGGCAGTATCCATCATTAACCTAACCTAATCATAATTTTTTTTCTTCTTTCGATTAAATAATTGCGTAGATGGAAAAAGGAGGAACAAAATATCTAAATATTTAACATTTGCTATTTTTTCGTCGTTATTTAAAAATAAATAAATATATAATAATGATAAAAGATTATTTTTAATGATTATTTTAATGTTAAATATAAAATATGGATCTCAATTTATTTTGCTGTAAATAATTATAAATTTTATAGGAAAAAAAATATAATGATTCTTATTTCTTATCTTTCTTTCCCGTAATAACTTTATTTATTCAGCATTTTTGCGCTACGTTGTTATATCATTATCAGATCAAAACTTCTTACATTAATATCAAAATTTAAAAAATAAAATAAATTAGAATTAATATGGTTAAAGTTATCGATATTTTAGTTTTTAAAAAAAATTAAGATTAAGATTTCATATTTTCATCTGGCTATTTTTACAAAAAATTAGTATCCCTGTCTTAATTCAATAATGGGCGGTGATAAGTAGATGACCATACTTGTAGGATCTTCAAATAGTATGATGCCACAGAATCAAAAGGTAAGCCGTATAACCATGCATTCACAGTTAGCGAGAATGCGGCGAAGTATACAAAAATGAATGTAAAATGTTTATTATCATATTTTGTACACTTCGCCGCTAATTCGCACTAACTGCGAACGCAGGGTTAGGGCTCGTTTATAGTTAACACGTATCGCTTAGGCGACGCGACACATCGTTGGTTATTTTTCAAAATAAAGCAAATAATAGAATTTATAATGACTGCGCGATGAGCATGAAATTAATTACATCGCATCGCTATTAGATTATAAATTTATAGCTATTATTTGCTTGCTTTTGGAAAAATACCCAGCGAGTTATGTGCATCGCTTAAAATATAACGCGTACACGGTTTATCTTGCTTTACCCAAAAATAACTCCTTGCCAGATGATAAAAAACGGAGCGGGTTCCTAGCTATATTTGCAGAATATTTTTCAGTTCTGTCCTAAATCTTCACAGTTTCGGGCCTGGATGTGTATTTTATATATATTATTAACTTATACTCTCGTGATAGGCTTATTAATTCTTGCCCGGCTAAAATCACCATTTAAATTGCTAGCTTTAGCTGGAGTGATCAAAAATGATAGATCACCATATAGTAATTTACTAACTGACGACCAAATTGAAAATCATTATAATCTGATGAATTTTTTAACCCTAATCTCTTCTATAAGAAATGGTTTCAGAACAAAAGTCCCGATAGGGATCGAACCTTCTACATGATGCAACCTCACTCCATATTTTACATGTCTCTATTAACCGTTCAGCCACAGTTTCCATTCAAAAAGCATCATTTTTTTGTATATATTCTATAAAAGATATTGCGTTATGAATCGGTCCGAAATATTTCCAAAAAAACCTTTAATTCTTAGGCTCTCAGTCATCTTTGACTTCTGACAGAACGGGCACAGGGGTTGCTACAGAAAATTTGAAAGAATTTTTTTTTGTATTGCAATTATGTTTCATATATTCAAATATTTATCATTTTTAGCTAGCATTATTAATTTTTCGGGTCGAGTCAAATATTCGACCCGATTTAACTCGAATAATCATCTCAAACATGTCGGGTCTTTTGGCTCAACCCGGCTAGAAGCACTCAATTTCGATGTTAGCGTTTGCATTTTGATTTCCAATTCGCAAATGTCTGTCGTAACGCTTCCCGCTTCTTTTGGGGGAGGGGTTGGAAGTGGTAATTTCTGTCGCTCGCGAATATTTATAAGCGAGGTTTTATTATTTAACTTTAATAATAAGTAAAATCTTTCTATTTAATTTTTGGTGTAAAATTAAAATGAATCCGGTTTTATCTCGCAATTTAAAAATTAAAACCCGACAAAAGCTAATAGAAGATTATAAAAGATCCTCATTTTAAAAAAATTAAAAATAAAATGAAACTTGTTTAATTTGAGTGGGGACCAAGATTTTTGCCCAATTTATCAGTATTTTCTAAAAAAATAGTAATTTAATAGTGGGACTATAAATTTTGCTCAGGGAGTTCCGAATTATCGAGACCCCAAATTAGACAAGTTTTAATTTAATATCAAACTGTTCGCATAAATATTCTCTAGGGTTGTTAAAAAACCCCTATTCTGGTCCATTTTTAAAAGCACCTGATTAAGATTTTAGCCAATATAATATTATGAAAGCCTATAGATTTTTGCTCATAGATGACAGAAAGGTTTAGACCTGTATTTGCCAAATCTCGAGAATCACATAATATTATTTTGGATAAATTTAGTCGGATCGTTATTAAAAATCGGGCTTTTTAAGAACCCTAGAAGTAAAGCAAAATACGACTATTTAAATTTTTATATAGTGCCAATTAGGTCTATTCAAATTATTGATACGTTTATTCTTTTAATAAATGAATTGGAAATAAAGTAAAACCTGTCTTATTTGGGCACCGATCGGGAGACCTAGATTTTAGCCCAACATAAACCTTTGCCCAATTTATCAATGCATTTTCTGATACATAGTGGTTGATAGTAAAAAAAAATTGGGACTTAAATTTTGGTCATTAGGGAAGAAATATTTTTTGGGTCCCACTAATCATGACCGCCAATCAAGTCGAATCTGATTATCTCAACAGTATTAAAAAAAATTTATGCAGTGTGCCGAAAAACGTTTTATTTGCCCTTTTCCCAAACGATGACCAAATATTTAATTTGTTATATTCATTTTAGCAGAATACCTTTTTTTTAAAAATATTTGACATAGTAGAGACTTTCCGAGGTCAAATATTTTACCCTACACTATCATTTATTTTTAAAAATTCACTATTTATTTAGCCATCCACATTTTGTGTTAAGGTTTAGCACCAAGTTTTCCTTTTTTAAATAATTTTAGCAAATATATTTTTGTCAATGGTTTCCAAAGGGTAATTTTTTTAACAAAAAAGAGAAAAAAGAAGAAGAATATTAAATGATGACCCATCACGTGATTTTTAATTGGTTAATCGATATGATTTAAATTCGAGCCCGTATTTTTAAAATCATACGAATTTATGGTTCGTTTTAAAACTGCAGGTCTAGTATTAGCTTAGCAGATATACTTCTTTTATATTATATTTCACTTCATAAGCCTCGATTACAGATCGAATCACGAATTATTCGTAGATTCCTATAGACAAATTCGATAAGTTTTACATTCCTATTCGTAATGAATAGTAAAATTCACAGTATCTTGTTTAAATAATAAATTATAGTAAGACTTGTCTAATTTGGGCTTTTGATAATTCGAAGCATTTTATCCTACTTTTACATATGTGATTTTTATCTAATTCATGGATTTTCTCAATTTAACTGCTTACTCAAGCGACCCCCCCCCAACCATTGGTCTCAGATTTACACCCCAACATTTTTATTATTATTGGGGGCTCCTCCAAAAATGGAAATTCTAATATTTAAAAAAAAATTTAAAACGCCAAAACCAAACAGGTCAACGATCAGATGAAACTGTTGCAGCATTCTTGGAGCGAATTGCTCATTCTAGATCACACCTACCATCGCATTTATAACGAGCTGCCGGAAGAAATGCTTTTACCGAACGGGCAAAAATTTGACCTGATAACCATATCCCTACTTGGGTTTTCTACCTTGGCTCATCACCTGCACCAATTCATGTCCAAGCTTAACGACCTAAAGATGGACAAAAACGAATACGTTTCGCTTAAATTCTTCGTCTTACTTAATCCTAGTTTTACATTTTACCAATTTTGATTTTTTTAAAAATATATTTGTCCCGTGGTATGTTTATTATATAAGATAATCGGAAGACGGGGACATATATCCTCGTCTGAGTATTATAGTGTTCTATATCTACATTTTTTTTATCAAAATTTATTTCTTCAGTGCTTTATTCCTACATATCAACAATAAGAAAAATATTAAAATATAATTTGGAATAATCCTTTATATTATAGTTGTTAAATTAGTGTTGTTAAAAGCCCAATTTGAGTCGATTTTTAAAAATGGCCCGATTAAGATTTTAGCCAAAATAATATTATGTAGGCCTAGAGATTTGGCAGACAGTTCAAACCTTTCTACCATGATCAAAATCTCTAGGTTTAAATAATACTATTTCGGTTGTAATGTTAATCGGGTCGAATGCTCTCCGTAAAATTATTTTTTAAAAAAATGAATAGAGCATTATAATACTCATCCGACGATATATTTTAGAATTATCTACGATATAATATTGAGTGAGATTTGTGTCATTGATAAAATTCTTAACCGGAAAATTCTACCTTTTGATCCCTTTTTTTAAAAAAAAAAGAAGAGGTCATATTTATTCTTCAATAGTCAATATTTAAAAAAACAGGAGATACTTTTAAATATGAGGGGAAAATGTCGGGGGGGGGGGCTTCATTGACCCACGTTTTTAAATTAGATTTTTATAACTTAAATGATTAATAGCGCCGATTTATTTAATTCTGAAAAACCTTTATTTTACCGAAATCGTAATTGCAACATTTAAATTAAAGTACCTTTACCCTACGAATTTCATACTATGTCCCCATTCTATAAAATTTTCGAAATTAATACAATTGGTAAAACAGATGATATAAAATAAATGAATGCGCCAGAACTATCTGGTATGGTTTTATAGTCTTAATTTATTTTCTCGCGCAGATTATTTACACACGTGACACTTTACCAAATTTTTAGTTGTTTACAATGAAAAAAAAACAATGTAACGTGTAAAGTTTTCATAGGTCAATTTTTATATTATGGATTAGCCATTTGAATTTCTAAATAAATATTTATTTCTGATAAATGTTGTTAAACGGCTTGATTCAGTCAATTTTAAATTAAAATATTATTACGAAAGTCTCAGGATTTCGATAATAAGATGTCCTAACCTTTCTTCCATCATTTAGCAAAATCTCCGTGCTTGCTAATATTTTATGGCTAAAATATTTGGTTAGGCGTTTAACAACACTTGATATCTATTCTCTAACAACATTTTAAAATTAACTAGATTTTTATTTTACGTATTACTACTACAACACCACAAATATAGTTTTTACAATTTTAACCATATGTGATATTATATCATGGTATATTTTTTGGCAAAATATAATTTTGATAATTAGTTGATAGGATCTTAAAAATTTATATCATTTATAGGGTGCGCTTTTTTTAAATTTTTTATTTTAATTTTGTCGGTATTATGTCCCATTATGTATATGAGGTCAGCGTGGTCTGTGGAAGTTTTTGATAGAGTTTCTCGGCCCGTTAAATAAATTTTTACAAGTTGTTCGATCCGGTTTATAAAATTTTTTTTAATGAATGATAAACGCTTAAAATATTTTTTTATTTAACCAACTTTCTGCTCGCAAATAAAATATTTCCCGCGAATTGTTCGCTCAAAATTTTAAAAAAAGCGCCATGCAAATGATTTAAATTTTATAGATTCCTCAACAACTTATTGCATACTGAATTACTTTAAATTACTTGTTGCCGTATGACATAATATTATTGTTTAATCTTATTTTTTTTCTCTCACTTTATAAAAAAAAGCTGTACGTGGCCTACAGAACAGGAAGTTAGTGGAAGAGGCTCAAGACAAAATTCATTCGGCTCTCATGATTTATTCCTCCCTCAATTACCCCCTGATAAAAGACAAATTTTCTCGCATAATGGCGTGTCTTAGCGAAGAGCTCAGGTTGATCAGTCTTAAGGGTGAGGAGTTTTTGCATTTCAAACAAAATACCGGTAATTTACCTCCTCATACCCTGTTAGTCGAAATGTTAAACGCAAAGAAGCGACGAGTCTGATATAACCCCCTCTCCCTCATATTTACTTATTTAGCCTATTATTCCTTTTTCAAAAGAAAGGATATGATGACATTTTTACAAATCACTCCCCCCCCCTCTAACATCTGTATAACAAACATTGCAACTACACTAGTTATAATCTCTAATGTGGATATATAATTTTTTTTAAAAAAAATGCAAAAAAATCCTACAATTTTAGTGGAGTAAAACAAACAGCAAAAAATTATATTTTTTGATTGCACAAAATAACATATTTTTACAAAAAAAACGAGCATTTTTATTATTTTATTTATTGATTATTTTTTTAAATATTCAAATTATTTAATATCTTGCTCTGTATTCTCCTCTCTATAAAAGTAATAACGGCCTATGTAGTAATATCTAATATGATGTTTCGTTCGCATGTAAAACACCCATCTATTATTTAAAGGAACTATATTAGTATTGCGCATGCGCGGATTCGAACATGCAGAGCATTCATTTTATTATACTTAAAAATATCAAATTTATTACGCGAAGAACTTCGATTGGATAACTTTATAAACAAAAAATCAAATCTCTTATTTTATAGTGATTTTTTTTACCTCTATATTATCTTGCACTATTCAAATTTTTATTAAAAATTGTGTCGCATTTGGCCGGATTGTTCCGCTAATATTTTATCGGTCAGTAAATAGCAAATTTCGACGACTAATGAATGTTTTTAGAAATTTTTACCCCCCCCCCCCCATCCTTGCATCATCCATCAATTTTTTTTTAAACATTACAAACCAATCGAATTCTTTACATAAATTTGGCAGCAAAACAGTTTTAATGTTTTAAAAAATATCATAATTCAAACAATTTATGCGGATATTTTCGGTAAAAAAAAGGAATTTAAATTCAACTCTAAATTTTATTTTTTTAATATAAAAACATATGTGGTTTTTTCTTCCTCATTTTTACTAACTGTATCTTCTCCTATCTAAAATTAAAATTTATAATTATATACTTTTTTTTTAAATTATTTATTTATTAATTTTTTTTTTCAAATTCTAACTTTTAACTCTGTTTTTATTTTGTTTATTTAATTTTTTTAAAAAAACTTATATTTATATTTTTTAAAAAAATTTCATTATCTTTTACAAAAAAAATTTTTGTCGATCTCTTCAATTTTTATAATTAACCTTTTATCTTATCTAAATTAAAATTTACATCATCAATCCAATGGGGGAGAGGGAAATGCCTAATAACCAATTTACTAATTTGGAAAAGCAATCTTTAGCAAGATTATAATATATTTTTTTTTATATAAAAATATTTCAACAAAAACACCTATGATCAAATTCAATGCATTTTTCTTTTCATTATCCGTAATAATTATTAAAAAATAAGATCCCAAGTGAGATATTATTTCTTGGTTTTGCCGATTTATATGACGTTTAATCCTTAACATAACTTATTCCAAGCGTTTCCTGTATATAGAAGAGTTATATTTACATTTATGAAAATAGGAATAATAATTACCCCCAAAAAGATAATAAAATTTTTTTTCCCCTAAAAATACGTTATTTTTAAGAAAAAAAAAATAAAAATGGCATTTAAAAATTAATTATATATACATTTTAAAGGAAAAATAAGAATTATATTATTTATATTTTTTTTATTGTTTTTTCTTAATTTTTTTTATATTAATTTTTGATATGAAAAAAAATTTAAATTTTAAAGATGAAAAATATGGGGTTTGTGGGAAAAAAATTGGGAAAAAATATTTAATTTTTATTATTTTTTTTTTAAAAAAAATCCAGGAAAAAAACATTATAACACATTGGACAACGCGTTGTTTTTTTTAGAAATAAAAAACAAAATTAACTTGTTTTTTTTTTAAAAAAAATATTATTTTTAATTTAATTTATAAAACTAGTCCACCTGAAAAATAAAAAAATTATTTATTATTTTTTTTTCTCTCTCAAACTTACATTCATTCAAACTATTTAATTTATTTCTTAAAACCATTATTTTTTTAAAAATATTTATATAAATTTATTGGAAATCGCTTATTTTTGGCTTTTTTTAACTAATGAATGTTATAATTTTTCAATTTTTTTTTTTTAAAAAATCGCTTATATTATATAATACAAAAATGCATAATTTAATTTAAAAGTAAATTAAAATTTCCGATCAAACGTAATGTTATTGTATATTATATTTATTTGCAGGTAAAAAAATATATTTTTTAAATTATTATAAAAATATCACAATTAAAGAAATAAATCCACTACTTTATTTTATATGGTTTATTTAACAAAATACAAAATAACAATGCACTCTTTATCTTTATAAAAGCTAAATTATGATTATTTAAAATATTTTTTTTTGCAAGATGAAATATAGGATTCGTGAAAAGATATTGGAAATTTTTGATTTATTTAAAAAACAAATCATGTTTTTTAAATTTATAATTATTAATTCTTTTCCTTTTTTTTGAAGAAAAATCTTTGCTACAAACACGGGTTTTCTTCTGATTTTTTAAATTTTTATATATCTATTAAAAAAAATAACAACCCCATAGCGAATTTTGGTGAAGACATATAGAAGATAGGAATATTTATTTTATTAATTTATGACCTTTTTGATTCTCTTGCCGCGTGTATCATATAAAACAAATAATAATATAAAAGTTTTAAAAAAAATATATATATTTTTTTTTTAATTATCTTAAATATTTTTTTTGGACATTAGAAATCATATACATAATATTATTTTTATATTTTGAAAATCCCCATATATTATTATAAACTTATTTTTCTCCTCTATAAATATTATATATTATTATAAATATTTAAGGAACATAGCAAAGTTATTTTTTTTATAAGAAATAAAATCTTACCTTTATATTTTGTATAACCCCCCCCCCCCTCCGCTACCCTCCTTATATACATTTTTTGAATCATTTATTATTTTTTTAAAAAATGTAATTTTTATTTTATCAGAAATTTTATATATATTTATATTATTTAGTTATATCAATGCAATAAATAATAAATATATATCGAAAAAAAATTATTATTAATCCGCAAAGATATAAATTAATTTTCCTGAATATTACCTGATTAAAAAATAAATAAATATATATTTAAGAAATGGCAATTTATTTTCTTATAATCCACTATTTACTAAAAAAAATATACATATAATATATTATATTTTAAAAAAAACTAACAAATATTAAATTTCTAATAAATAAATATATTACTCTAAAAGATGTAATTTTATAAAAAATACTAAAACATAATGTGCTTTTTAATTTGCTTAGCATTGCTGAACTGAAATTCAGGAAGTATAAAGAGGAGAGACCGGCGATAGTGTTAGCTGAGATAAGTATTGTCATATAACATAAACCAACATAATTGAATTTGACATTGTAACCAAACATATATATCAATGAGGTGCATAAATGATTCTAAAAAGGTATACCATAAAAATGGTCAAATAAAAATTGAAAATTTTATGACCTCATGAATACTTTTTAAAATTTCTAGTTTCTCAGATTAAATATTAATTCCAAATTATAAGGTAATCTATATATCTTGTTTAAACAAATATTCATAATATAACATGTATGAAAACCCTGAGGCAAGTTTTGGTGGAGTGAATATTAAAGAAATTTTTTAGATACATGATCGGTTTTTTTTAACTATGGACTAGCGGGTTAAGCAAATTTTAGAACCATGGGCTGGCGTTCGAGTTGAGAATTTGCCCATTGTCACATCTAGTGCGCCAGATACAAAATATGAATTGAATTTGAAATATCAAGCAATTTTTGTCCAACTCAAAGAAATTGCCGTTACACCAGCTGATTTATTTAAATTTTTATTCGTTTATTTATAATCCCATGACTTGCCCGGTTTGACTTAATGATTAAATTTATAATAAAACAATCTACCAAACCTTTAAACAACCCTCATCCGCTGCTCTCTAACCTTTCTCTTTACTTAAGATACTTGTATAATTTTAAATATATCTTATTCAATTAAAAAATTCTCTCAGTTGAACCTTTTTTGAGTTGATATATTATCATTTTTTTATAAAAGACGCCATAACACCAACCGCGAACGTGTCTTTTTCATATCTTTAAATAATTGTAAGATTAATTTTTTTTTTGAAATATGATTTTAGTTCTACCATAGAGTTAGAGAAGAATAAAATTATACGTTTATTAAATTATTTGGAAAATTTGCTTTAACTATTTTTTATATCTCCAATTTTTTATGGCTAGTAATCCTCGTGTAACGTTATACAATGATTGTTTTAGTGCATTAACAGCGATTCGAAAATTCACACTCACATCGCAGTCATTGCTTTACAATGGTAACATTAAATTAATGAGTGTGTAGTAGGATGACTAAATTCTAAATATCTGATTTTGCCACAATTTTTAGTACGTGATTAGTACTTATTAATTCCTCGTTCAGTTTTACTAACCATAAATAAAGAAACCGAATTATATAAACAACAAAAAAATCTATGATTTCACAACTTTCGGAAACACTAATTCTGAAATGTATATATTAGTATTTTTAGATTTAAAGATAAGAACCATTATTAGCAATATAGTATTTTTTAAAAAAATCAACATGTCTGAACGGAAAATATAAAGCATTGAAAATCTGGTTTAGGCAAAATTTTATTCCCGATTAGTACTTAATATTTATCGAAGTTTCGCCAGCCATTAAATTGAAATGAAAATCTATGACATCACGCCCTAGATTATTTCCAGATACGTTTTTTCAAAGCAGTTTCATAGACAATATATACAAGCGTGATAGAATTATTTAAGAAAAGAAAATTAAAATATTTTCATGTCAGATTATATCTAGAAGAAGGAAGGTTAAAATTTAGAACTGAAAACACATGTCTATGCTATTGTATAGTGGCACCGTCAAATAATATAGAATATATTAAAAAGTAATTACTGATACTAGTCAAAACTTTGCTAATTATCTTTAAAAGAATTAAAATATAAGACTTACAGGCATTAGCGGCTCAGGTTCGAGTTACAAATTTTTTAACAGTTCAGGTTCGGTTTGAATCCCTGGTATATTACTTCATTTCATTTAATGGTTACAAATTTTTTAACTGTTCAGGTTCGGTTTGAATCCCTGGTATAGTACTTCATTCCATTTAATGGGCAATTGAGCCCTCATCGGACCTGCAAACAAAATGTTTTCTCTGCCAAGTCTGGTCCAAGTTTTATAAAAGATGTCCTCAATCTTTCTAGCCTTAAAATTAAAAATTATATAAGGTGAAAAATTACTAACGAAACTTTTAAAAGAGGTATTTTGCAAACATTATAATATTCATACCGCCCCCTCCCTACTTTCTTAATTTATAATTTAATAGATAAACCGAACCTTAAAAGTATTTTTTAAATAATTTAGACTCTTAATTCGAACAATTCTTTAATTTTACCAAAATTTTGAGTAATCTAATTCCGATTAACTGCTATTAGAAAATGTCTAACAAATATCTAAGTTAGACAAAAATCTTGGTGCCAACGTTGCCCAAATTAGACAGGTTTTATCAATGACCACTTGCCCCTCCTCTTCGTGATAGATTGACAATTCTAACCCATAAAACTTTCCATGGTGGGTAGTTTGGAGTGGGAGTTATCCTTAAGCCTATTTTTCTGTAGCAGCGGATATTAGATGGTTCATTTGGCACCATCTAACAAATCTGTATTATTTTTTTGCTTAGATCGTGACTGCCACTAATGTTATTAAAAAGCTTGATTCGTCTCTATTTTTTAAAACGGGCCGATTAAGGTTATAACTAAAATATTATTATGTAAACCTGGAGATTTTGCTCATAGCTGGCAGAAAGGTTTAGACATCTATTTGCTAAATCTTGAGGCTTGCATAATATTATTTTGGCTAAAATCTTAATCTCACCGTTTTTAAATATCTACCCAA